AAAGAGAAAAAATTGTATATTTTACACTACTCAAGTTGATTTCTTAAGATACGTTATTACCAATAAAGGATTAATCATAGATTCTAAAAAGGTCTAGACTATCATAGATTAGAGGATCCTAAAAAAAATCAAAGATGTGTAATATTTTTTGGAATTTGCCAATTATTATCAAATCTTTAATAAGATGTTTTCTAAATTGCAACTCATCTTATACGTATGACATGTAAAGACAAACTTGAATGGAGCAAAGGAGTAAAAATATCTTTTGAAGTCTTAAAGGTAATATTTATTTCTATGCCAATTTTGTATCATATCAATTTTTTTAAGGCGTTCTTCAGGAAAACAAATACATTGGACGTTGTTGTAGATATTATTTTATCAAAAATATTAACAAATGATAAGCTGCGCCCAATTGCTTTTCATTCCAAGAAATTTTCAACAATTGAGATTAATTATGAGATCTACAAGAAAGAGCTTTGTGTAATTATAGATTTATTTCAAGAATGGCATCATTATTTAGGAGGTGCTTCTAATTTAATTATTATACATACATAACACAAGAACCTCAAGTAATTCATATTGGCATATATTTTGAATTGTCACCAATTCCATTGGAGTATGTCTTTATTAAGATTTTATTTTAAAATCACTTATAGATTTAGAAAATAATAAAATTTATTAAATATCCTTTCTAGACATTCTTATCTTATACCAAAAGAAGGAGATGTAGCTTTTGATGAATAAAAAAGTTTCTCTTGAAGTTGAAGCATTTTCATCTTCAAGTAATAAAATCAATATTGATTATTGATTCAAACTTTGTTAAGTAAATTCAATTAAGTATATCTTTTGATTCTTTTATTTATGATATCAAGAATAATTCTATTAAGTTTCATGATACTTTTAATTTTGAGTTAAAAAATAATCTACTTTATTTTACAGGACAATTATACATTCTAAAAGATAAATTATGATTATGTATTTTTCAATCTCATCATGACTTTCCAATAATCAAATATTTTAGATACAATAAGACTTTAGAGCTAGTATTTAGAGATTTTTAGTGGCCTCAAATATAAAAAGTACTCAAAGACTTTGTACAATCATGTGATATTTGTTTAAGATTCAAAACTCCTTCTCATTGACCTTATTGATTTCTTTAGCTATTACCTATTCTAAAATAACTATGGTCTTTTATTTCTATGGATTTTAATATGGATCTTCTAATCTCAAGTTCATATGTTTCTATATTCAATATAATAGATTATTTTGCCATAATCGCATATTTTGTACTATGTACAAAGTTTATTAAAAGTGAAGAAATGGCTAAGCTTTTTTTTAACAATTTCTATTACTATCATGGATTATTTAAGGATATTATATCAGATAGAGAGATTCAATTTATATCAAGATTTAAAAAAATTCTTTTCAAGGTATTAAAGATAGATATAAAGTTTTCTTTGGCTTTCTATCCTCAAACTAATAGATAAATAGAATAAATGAATCAAATTTTAGAATAATATTTGACAAGTACCATCAATTATCATCAAGATGATTGGACAATTTTTTTGCCATTAGTAGAGTTTGTGTACAATAATGTGATATATTTATCTACTCAATAATTATTATTATTATTATTATTATTATTATTATTTTTGTTTATCAATTATGGTTATCATCTATGACTTGATATTTTTAACTTTTTAAAAGTTGATAATCTTGCGGCAAAAGATTTAGTAAATTGTTTCTCAAAGCTACATGTAATAATAATGGCACAATTAAAAGAAGTTCAAGAATAACTAAAGATTAATGTGGATGCCTATTATAAGAAACAACCACAATTTAACATAGATGAAAAAATACGGCTACTTTGTTGCAATATTAAGACTACTTGTTTTTTTGATAAGTTGGACTATGATATGCTTGGATCTTTTTCTATTAGTGAACAAGTCAATCATATTATTTATCGATTATATCTATTGGAGTCTATGAAGATCCATCTTGTATTCCATATGTCTCTTTTCAAGCCATATAAGACAATGAATATCTCACAAAAAAGACAAATGCCACCTCTTTCTATAAAAGTAGATAATAATCAAGAATTTGAGGTAGAAGAAGTCTAAGATTCAAGGTGGCACTAAAATAGGTTAAAATATCTTGCTTATTGGTATAAATATGATATTAATGAATGCACATGAGAGCCAACAAAGAATCTTGCAAATACAATAAAGAAGATTGAGATTTTTCATTAATAATATCTATCAAAACTGAGATGAAGGATAGCAAATCTTTATTATAAATGAAATAAGATCTAGGAAAGATAGCATTCTACCTTCTACTTTTGTTTAGTACTAAGGAGATAGAAAACCAACAACTTGTAGATTTAATACATGAGCTATCACTTATTGACTTATCGGATGAGGCATTGTAATTGATACAACCATCAAGATGATATAATCAAGATGGAGATCCTTAAGATTTACATATCTTTCTTTGAATAGATGGCAAGATACATCATGCTTGATCTCACGACCTTAGAAGAGACTCTTGATGTTTGGTGATTTTATTGGAAGTAAAAACGACTCTTGATGTTGTTCTAAATATTTTATTTGAAAGAAGTTACAAATGCCTCAATAATGATAAAATAACATGGTGATCTTTTTGTCTTGATATGAGATACTATTAATTACTGAGAGGACCTATCAACCATCTTCGAAGAAAATAAAGATCAAAATATTTGATAAACATAATTTGTTTCATCTTAAAATTCTTCAACATATGATGACTGCTCCACTTAGAACTTATTCCTAAAAAAGAAAGTAATATCATAGACATACATATTTATCTTAATAATTACTTATATGATTAAATAAAAATTGATAAAAATAGATTTATTTCATTATATTTTTTAAAAATACTTTATCAATGTTACTTTGATTTTTTTATGTATTTGTAGTTTATTAATAGATTGAAAAATTAATCAACAAATAATCCATATATTAATAGTTTGTAAAATATTACATGTATTTATAATTTATTAATAGATTAAAAAATTGATCAATAAATTATTCACATATTAATAGTTTGTAGAAGAAGCTAACTATGTTATTTACATATAAAAATCACATTATCTTAAATTTTAAAATGCTTGAATTATAAATGATATAGAAATTATTGGATGAATAAAATTTTATTTTTTAAAATTATTTTAAAAATTAAATTGTAAATATATTCACACATATCATAAAGCTTTTTATTTTTATTATTTTTTTTAAAAAAATAATAATCTTTTATTCATAATAATTATTTCAAAATCAATAACATAACTATCAAATAATTACTAAAAAAATATTTTCAAAAGAACATAATTTTTTTTGTTCTTAACTATCTAATCTTTAAATTAAAAATAATCTAACCATGTGTCAATATTTTGATTTAAATACAATTCTTTTTAAGAATCAAAATCTTCTATTAGATTTCAAAATCACATTTATTATGAAAAAAAAAATCTTAACAAAAATAAATAAATTTTTGTAACAATTGAAAATCATAAATTGTTATAACTTATTAAAGTTTAATTACTAAATACTACATTTTTTTGAATAAAAGAAAAAAAAACTAATAAATAACAATGCATGTCAATAAAAAAAAATAGTGGAGAAGAAAGATTTAAAAAAGAGCTAGGTTTCAAATTTATAAAAATAAAATAAAAAAATCATTAAACAAGAGTTATAAGAAAATATTATGTTAAAATATATATATATGTATATTATGTTAAAATATATATATACATAAATATATAATTTTAAAATCATTCAAAAACTTCTTTAAGTATTCCTAAATATAATGTGTATATATGCATGACCAATTAAAAAGCTTATTTATGCTCTTTGTTTATTATCTGTCTACATTACATTTAAGAAAAAAGTCCACTCCTTATTATTTACATAAATTCCTACAACACTCTTTGAAAAGAATTTCAACCATTAATTTCTAAGCAACGTCATCTTCACTAATCAACCAATGTTTATGTTGATTCTGAAGTTTGGTGTACTTCAACACTTCGTATTGCAAATATAATTAGATGAATGACATAGGAGAAAAAACTTACTTCATTAACTGCTTCACTTTTGCCTCCTCCACAATTTCCTGAATGCCCATCTGCAATTGCTTGCACACATCAAAGTCAGTGCAAGCACAGTGCACTGGGAGATCAATAGCTGAACCCTAATACCTCCAACACAATGCATTCAATTGCATATAATCTGGGAGTAGATGCAAGAAATAATTGAACTGTGAAGAAAAAAGCAAGACATGAAGTGCTCTGCAACAAGGATTGCCCTGCAATGCATACATAGTAAGTAAGTAAATGACTATCCTTCTTCCGAATCCAATTTGTCATTTGCGTTTGTCTGTTCAGTATACCTGAATTCAGGGTATTCAGGGGCATCAGTAATTCCAATGCAAACATTCGCGGGAACAGCCGATGTTGAAGAGGTGGTGGTGATTTCAAAGAGGAGTCTGTATACTTACAGATCATCTCAAGAGGTTTGCGCTGACAAAGAAACAAACTAATACTAAAGAACTTATGCAGTTTGGAAGTGAAAAACGTGACAGGATAATCGGTGGTGCGGATTACCTTGACTCCAGAGACCATCCACGAATTGAGCCCATAAACGCGTGCTTCCTTCCACCTGCTATACCTCAATGCGGTTTGGAAGGTAAGAACGTGTTGCATAACTTTTCTACCACTTACATTAACGAGATGAAGAGTACCGAGAATGCCCAAAATTTCCGACAATCTGATGAACCTCAATGACCAGTTATATTGTACGCCACGGAGAGAGGCGAACATCGCGTGCGTGCGCGTAAATCACGTATCATTTATGTGGCTTGTGTCTGGGCTCCGAAGATCCTTAAGTTGAGAACTGAATTGGTTGGGTGGGTTCGATGTGCAGGGTATTAAGTATGGGTATCAACTTTGGCATTAGGGTTTTCATCTTCTCTCCGTCTCGGAGCCTTAAACCCGCAACTGACGGTGATTGTTTCCTTTCAGAATCAGCACTTCGTGCTCTCAGTCCCTCTTTGCCACCTAACGCGGCAGCTTAGCTCTGCCGCTTTGCTTGTCTTCCAACATGGCTACCCAAATGAGCAAGAAGCGCAAGGTGAGGCTATCTCGTTTTGTGGAGGTTTTCCAGGCTCGTGTTGATTTGCTCTATTCTGGCACGGCCTTGCTTCTAGAAGCTCACACAGTTGCATTGTGGGTTGGTCTTTGTCTTTCAGTTCGTAGCTGACGGTGTTTTCTTCGCCGAGCTCAACGAGCTTCTCACCCGGGAACTTGCCGAGGATGGCTACTCCGGCGTTGAAGTGCGCGTGACCCCCATGCGTACCGAAATTATCATCCGCGCTACTCGGACTCAGAATGTGTTGGGTTAGTTCCGAATTCCTGGAAACATTATTTTGAATTTTTTTTCAACCACATCGGTTTGAATAGCGATTAGGGTTGTCCAGGTAGTGCTCGGTGCTGTAAGGAATCTGGGAATTAAAGTGCGGTGAGTGCGTGGTTGGCAGGTGAGAAGGGACGCAGGATCAGGGAATTGACATCCGTGGTACAGAAAAGGTTCCAGTTCCCTGAGGGTACAGTGGAGTTGTACGCTGAGAAGGTGAACAACAGGGGTCTGTGTGCCATTGCCCAGGCCGAATCCTTGCGATACAAGCTCCTCGGAGGTCTTGCGGTTCGCAGGTTTGCTTTTTTATTGGATTTGTTTTGTTTTAGGATTAGGATATTCATTTTATTTCTTGACTCCAGACCCTTTCACTGGTGAAGTGGAAAATGCTCAATGCTGGCTTAGGGTTTTTTTTGCTGATACGTATTAAAAATTGTGGATTTACAGGGCTTGCTATGGAGTGTTGAGGTTCATCATGGAGAGCGGTGCCAAGGGTTGTGAGGTTGTTATTCTCTACTTTATGTACTTTGAGACTGATCTTTGAATGGTGTAATTAACTGATTAACCTACTAATAGAAACATATCTCGAATACGTGAATTTTACTCTATAATCATCGTAATACCCTGGATTGGGTTTCTGTGCATTAGAGCTACTGCATATTGTACTCTTCCTAGCTTTCAGGGCTCTCATATTCTTGACTCTTAACTTGATAATGTGATGTATGGAGTAGTGGCTCTGACTTACAGTCATCGCTACAGTTAGCAGAATTGTGTAATCTGATTAGTTGACGTGTGGGAATTGTAGGTCATTGTCAGTGGAAAGCTGCGTGCAGCTCGAGCCAAGTCTATGAAGTTCAAGGATGGCTACATGATTTCATCAGGAAGCCCCGTCAACGATTACATCGATAGTGCTGTCAGACACGTCATGTTACGACAGGTTTGTCGAGCAGCTATTCAGTGGTGTCCTCTCTGTGGTCTCCTTGCTGATTTCTCCTACGGTCTTTGTTTTCAAGAAAAAATCTCGTTTGCAAGTTGTCTGTAATGTATCTTAGAAATGTTTCGTTATTTTTTTCAGGGTGTATTGGGTATCAAAGTTAAGATCATGCTCGACTGGGACCCAAAGGGCAAGCAAGGACCCATGACCCCTCTTCCAGATGTGGTCACCATCCATATGCCGAAGGAGGAGGAGGAATTCGCCCACAAACCTCATGTAGGAAAGGAAGAGCTGTAGAGCAGATAGTGGAGTACATCTTTATCATTGAAATTGATTGTAAAGATTGGCTACATGCTTCTCTTCTCGAAAAATTTAGTTGGATTTTGACACCGTTCTTGCGTTTTACTTGAAGTCGAAATCTGTGCTTGTAACGACGCGTGTTACGACACCCTTTCACTGAATCTCTCCGGACTTCACTTCCAGTGCCTTTTCTATTCAGATGTCAGCCATCTGCACGCTACTAGCCGCTTCGTTTGAAGTAAGTTTTATCACCTCACGAAACGGCACAAATGGACAATTTCCTAGCAGATTGTCAGAAGGAATCGCATCAGAAAGAAGAGCCTGAGGGCATCTGGTCCGCTTGATATGCATGATGTAGTCGTCTGCAAGCCTGGCATTCGAGCACTCATGCTCGAAATTCCACGTGTCAATTCTCGGAAGCATTCTTTGTGTCGTGCCTTTACAGCATCAACACACTACACAACAATCCTGACTTCTCGTACTGAAAGTTGCAAGGTTACTAACCTGATAAGTGTTGAATTTATTGGCAACCGAAGTTGCCTAAATAAGGGAACGACGTAGTTTCTGACATCATCCACCATCTATTTCCATTTCGAACTTGGTGCCCCACTGCCTTAACCTAAACCATTCCCTTCAACATTGCTCGTCACATAGGCTCATGGATGCTCACGGTCAATACCCACCGCCTCCAGCTGCTTCAGGCCCGCAGCTTCTTGAGGTGCTCTCTCATTCCATCCTATCGGATTAGCTTTGACATCATCCCTAAGGATTTAGATTCATCGTTGCATTGTATGATGTGTGTACATTCCCTGGGTTGGCATTGTCGTGTCCATCTCTTCGATGAAGTCTTGATCTAGCTGCAACCTTGTCATTCAGGAACTATAGTGGATTAAGTTGCTTCCGGGTGGTTTAATTGATTGGAACACACAGTTTGATGGTAGACATGGGTTTGGGAGGTTTTTACTATGAGAGGGTAACAGGATTAATTGAGACAGAGTTGCCGCGAATTTTGTGTTGTGGCGGGTTGTGAGACTCGACTATTGGTTTGATGTAATTGAAATTTAGTAGGGTTAAGGGGTGGTTTTTGCGAGGGATTGATGCTTTGATTAGGTTTTGCATGTATAGGTGCATGTGTTCTTCAGACATGGTGATAGGACACCCACACCTGTGGGGCGTCCTAAAAACCGGAGCGACATGTGGTCAAGCCGCGTCCAAGAGGTGCCTTTGCCATTGCGAAATGGAAAATTCTTTCGACAGAAGTATCCGTGGGGAAATCTCACTACCAAGGGTAGGCTACCAATTGTTCTCCATTCACTCGATCGATTAGGTTATATTCTTTCTTTTTCCCTCCCCCGGCATACATAACTCTGGTCTGATGATAACGTACTGGCAATTTAATTCTCTTCCATCCGAATATTCTCAATATTGCCTGCACACCATATTACTCAAGAAGGTATACTGAATTAACATCGGTAGAAGTGGATTGATTTTGTAACTCGACATCGGAAAACCCTAGTTCTTAAAAGGTTGGGAGAAGAAATGTGACAGGTGCGCAGCAGGCAAGGGATTTGGGTGCGTGGTTAAGAGAGCACTACGTACCCCAGTTCAGCAACCCTGTGGGAAAGGTCAGGCTTCAGGAGGCGCCTGAGAAGTTCATCAGCTTGCGCACAACTAGCTTTCTGCGCACCAATCTCACTGGTATTTAAGTCTTTTCAATCCCTATTCAGTATGTATTTGTTGAATTCGTTTACGCTCCTGATCCATGTTTCTGCTCTCAACGATTATTATTGGTTTCTGCATTTGGATTACGACTTTTATGCGCTTCAGGCAGCCCATTATTATTTTTAATTTGTAGTTGAGAAATTGTTTTGACACTTGGCTATTCTTTGGAATCCTCAGCCTGGTTTTTATTGGAGGGACTTTTGGAATCTCCGGATGACGTAGCGTCTATCCCATTTATATGTCGAGAAGAGAAGGACGAAAATCTGTACCACAATGATGAGCACTGTCCTCGGTATGGCATTCTTCCACGCCTGATCCTATCTTCGTAATTACACGTATGAGAGAGTATGAGAATCTTTCACCAATGTGAACGTTCACATAGTTATCAAGCTCCCAATGATCAATTTCTGTGTCAATGTCTGATAAATGCAGCCTCTGGTTGAAGTGGGAGCAAGCGTGGGTGACTATTCAGAAAGCCACCACCTCGGACGGGATGAACTGGCGGGAACGCTTTCAGGTATATAATGCTTGCAATCCTGTGTAAGATGATGAAGCGCTGATTTGACATTCACAGGCATATGTTTTAATGATTATAGATGCTCCTAAAGTGAGGCTTGTATTTTAGGACATGCAAGCTGCAATGGCGCGAGAGTTGGAGCTAAACCTTGACGATCCGGGGTTTCTGCTGTCCATGGACGGTCCTGGCTTCCCATGGATAACGGTACTGCGGCCATCAAACCTCCAAGGTTTAGTCTCCATTTAAATGTTCCAAGGCTTTACTTCAATTTTTGTAAATCCGAGTTTTATTTTTTATGTCATGATAATTGCTAGGCTGTAGATACGCTTGAATGTGGGAGGTGTCATGGCGACGCCTTACCTGCGGGTATCTCCGTGGAAAAGCTTACTGCTGTTCGAACGCATCTTGCGCGAGACTATGCCGTCACATTTCAGGTAAATCCTATTACTTTCGGAAAGAAATTATCTTCTAGAATAATGCTGTGACTGTTGTAGCATCTGGAATTCATTTCAGGCGAAGTTAGTGCCATGATGCTGTGACAGGATAGAGACGTATTGCAGCTGTCTATAGGCAGGCTGGTACGCGAGTTGAAGGAGGCATTGCTTGATCGAGTCAACACCGAGGCGCAATCCACCTCAGACCGCCCTTCTCTGTTCCTATATTCGGGTCACGATGCCACTATCATGCCACTCTCAGGTATTCAACTCATCCATCTCATCAATTACATCTACTTCCTTGCGCACTGTACCGCCAGTTTAGAGGGGGCCCTTAAAATAAATTGTCGAATTTATGTTAGTTTTCGGATGTATGGCAGTGGCATTGGGTTTGCCTTGGACGGAATGGCCTGGCTACACATCCTCCATCTGTGTTGAGTTGTGGCGAGGTGCTGACGGTGAAGGTGGACATGCTGTCCGCGTGCTTTTCGACCGTGAAGAAGTTGCACTTCCCATCTCTCGAGATGGGAGCGCGCCGAAGAAGGTGTTGTCCTTTCACGAGTTTTTGGAGATAGCTGAGTGGTCTTCACTATCGGAGACGGACTTCTCAAGTAGATGTCAGGATGGTGCAGAGATAGCAGATACGCATGAGTGAACACTTTTCGTCGGCTTCTCAGGAGTGTTGCGGCGATTTAGTATCTATAGAATGCTAAAAATATTGACACCTAGACCCAGCTACGCTCAATAAGTTTATATTTCTCAACAAGCAGAATGCATGACTTGCTTGAATTGCATCACTGTATTTATTCGTAATGATATTCGGATAAAGTACATGGAATGAATTAGATTATTTTTTCTTCACGTATGTAATTACTCATTTTTTCAATAATTGCATACAACCACATGTCAACTAATACTTGGAAGTGAATTGTTGATGTGATTGTTACGTAATGCTTTATATTATTAACAAAGATTTGGATTTTGTGACTTTATGAGAAAATTATTTTGAAGAGTAAGAACTTGGTTGTTACAAAAGTATTGTTTATACTGAAATTCAAGTTTTTGTTATCCTATTCTATTTAATGCCTTATAAATTAGATTTTGTACATGGCTTGATGCTCTCTTATTATGTTGAAGATGGTTGAATTCACTTTATTGCCTTATTTATTTTTTATATATATATATATATATATTATAAAAAAATAATATCACAATTGATAATTTATATATATGTCAAGTAATATCTTGCTTAATTTATAAAGTTGATAAAGCTACACCTCAATGTTGTTAAAGTGACATCCCCTCTTACCATTTCATGATTGATTTTGTCCATCTTCTATCTTTGTACTGTATTCTTAGCCTCATCCCACATCTCTTGTTTCCAACCTTTGTTTCCAATCCTTGTCCCTTATTCAATGTCTTCCATACCTTATTTCCAACCTTTTTTTCCAATCCTTGTCCCTTATTCAATGTCTTCCATACCTTATTTCCAACCTTTGTTTCCAATCCTTGTCCCTTATTCAATGTCTTCCATACCTTATTTCCAATCTTTGTTTCCAATCCTTGTCCCTTATTCAATGTCTTCCATACCTTATTTCCAAACTTTGTTTCCGATCCTTGTCCCTTATTCAATGTCTTCCATACCTTATTTCCAAACTTTGTTTCCAATCCTTGTCCCTTATTCAATGTCTTCCATACCTTATTTCCAAACTTTGTTTCCAATCCTTGTCCCTTATTCAATGTCTTCCATACCTTATTTCCAACCTTTGTTTCCAATCCTTGTCCCTTGTTCAATGTCTTGTAGTCCCCATTTCCAATCCCTATTCCATTTTTCAGCCCTTGTTCCTCATTCCTTGTCTTTTATTCCTAGTTTCCATCCTTTGTTCCATGTCTTTTATTCTTAGTCTCCATCCCTCATTCCTAGCTCCTATCTCTTATTAATATTTTAATATATAATATGTTTGATTATATAAAATGTTTAATTATAAATTATCAATTTAGACATGAGATGTTTAATAAGTTCAATTGAAAAGAATACCATCACTACTTCTATGGTTAGAATCCACTCTAAAATAATATACAAGATTGAAACTTTAATACCATTTAAAGATATTTTTAAATATAACTTTGTATATTAGTAATCATTTTAATACTTTGAATATGATTTTTAAAAATAAAAATACAAAGAATTTTATTATATATTAAAATTACTTATAATAATAAGAATTTAATAAATAATTTTGAATTCAATACCTTATCTTTAAATTTTTATTATTTAATAGTATTATATATATATATATATATATATATATATATTTGTATCTACCTTTATAAATTATAAAATTCATTCAAAGGTTATTTATACTTTTAAAATATTTATTTGTTTATTTATTTTTATAACTAAAATAACAAATCAATTGTTTAATTTAAAAAATTAACAAAATAAAATTGACTAGATAGTTTGTTATTTCTTATGATGCTCAAATAAGTAAATATTCATAGCAATAGGAAAATAATGGGTGAAAACTTTTGCAATGCTAATATAGTGACAACAACAAGTCTTAGATTGCAGCATCATCTTTCTCCAAAATTCTAAAAATAAAAACACCCAAGTCTCTTCTCTCTTCATTTCTTACACTACTATTTCTTTTTGCTTTATAGCATTGTGATTAAACAAGAGGAAGAGGACATTAATAACAACAACCTTAGAGGCATTATCAAACTCTATCTTGTTTGCTTATTATTTTTTTGTACAAATAAGTCTTGTTCCCCGTCACGGACATAATCATGTAAGCTAGTAATTACATATACAAATAGGTAGAAGTAAGTAAAAGTAGATAAAAGTAAGTAAATTCTATAGTATTTAATATGGAAGCTTTCTAGAAGCTTCATAGATGCTGCTTTGACTTTATAGGTGTCTTTAATTGACTTTTTGGATTAGAAACGTAGTCAACAAGTTAGCCATGTGCCACACATATTGTTAGCTTGAAGATCAAGCTAACTATGTGGCCCACACGTAGAAGAACTTGCCTTGTAAGTCAAGGCATGTGTCATATAAAGTCAATACATATTCGAGGTCCTATAGAACGTTGCCACGTAGCCCCTAGTTAGATAGTATATATAGAGACAAGAGTGAAGGCTTCTTCACTCTTGTCAACTCCTTTCGTACTTCTAGTCTAGTTTCAAGGGTCTCTAGTTTTCTTGTCTTTTGGCAATAGCCATTCTAGTTTCTCTTTCAATATATATACTTGTTTATATATATTTTGTTACCTTTTTTTGAGTGAAGGCTCTAATTGTCTGAATTATTTTTTCATCGAGTTCTTGTCCTTGACAGATTGACAAGAGTACACCTATAATATCAGAGCTTTGTCTAATCTTGATTAAGAGTGGATTACCCCTTTTTCTTGATAAGATATAAGCATATTAGAAGTTGCAGATTACCCTCTTCTAAATTGATATTGTCCTTAGTATTTTTTTTGTTCTGAAGTCCTCTCTTTTATTTGTCTTAAGCGAAATTAGATATCTTCTCTTTTCTAAGTGTTATCATGGCAAAACTTGTTGAAATGAAGAATGCAATGGCACAAATACAAGAGCAATTGAGGGAGTTAATGCTTGCGATGCATCAACTCAATTTACGACCACAAGAAGCAACAAGATTGGCAGGAAGTGAAGATATAGAAATGGTTGGAGCTGCTTCAACATCTGCACCAAACCATGTCCTTTCTCCTATGGTGGAACGTCCTTCAAATGTTAGAGAACCAAGAATTTTCCTACCCGAGAAGTTTGATGGCACCAGATCCAAGTTTTGAGGATTTATCAATCAAGCGCAACTTGTGATTGAACTTCAACCCCAAAGCTATCTAACTCCAAGATCGCAAGTTAGATTCATTAATACGCTTCTTTCAAGTTAAGCACTATTGTAGTTTTCATCTTTTTTTGAACGACGAGATCCAATATTGGACAATCTAGAGGCTTTTTTGGCGGAGTTTCGATCCATGTATGGAGAACATGATGCAATTCGTGTTGCAACCAATAAGATCCGTATTTTACGACAAGGCAATCGATCAGTAACGTTATATGCTTCACAATTTTGACAACTTGCAACTGATATCAAGTGGGATGATGCTGCACTTATTAGCCAATTTTCTCTACGGATTACAATATGAGGTAAAAAAATTAATGCTCAACTTACTTGATCCTCAAACATTGAGTCAAGCAATTGACTTTGCTGTGAAGTCCGACAATCGCCTTTTTGAATTCTGATCTGAGAACTGTACAAGTGGACCTCAACATTACTATAATTCAATGGCAACACCAACACTTCTTCAACACATACATTCGGAAGTAGAGGATATGCAAATTAATGCAGTACGTTTCAAACCTCTTATTGAGCAAGAAAAGACTCATCGTCGTCAAGAAGGATTATGTTTATATTGTGGAGAACCAAAGCACACTGCTCAATATTGTCCAAAGAAATGACGCAATCACAAAATGAGGAGTATGGCTGTGAAAGAAGACAATATGTCAGAAAATGAATTTGTCCAGCTACAATACGGACCGTGCGGTTGGAACCTTGCACAACATCTAGTAAAGATCCTATTCTTTCCTCAGAGCTCTCTCCTTGTTTTACATTAAATGTTATTTTAGGACCTAAACATTACAAAGTCTCTGCCTTGTTAGATTCAGGAGCCTCAGCGTGTTTTTTAGATGAAGAATTTAATAAAAGACATAGCATATCTTTAGTAAAGAAAAATAAACCTGTTCATGTAGAAGTCATAGATGGTCGTCCATTTTCTTGTGGAGATATTACTCATGAAACCGTTCCTATAGAAGTAATAATCAATGGTCATAATAGTTTTGTAGTATTTAATATCATTAGATCTTCCTCTAATCCAGTCATTTTAGGTTTATCGTGGTTAGAAAAATACAACCTTCAAATAGATTGGATTTCTCGAACTCTTACTTTCTCTAAAAGTATAACTAACAGTGTAGTTAAGCAAGTAAAGAGTCATAAGTCCAGTTCAATTAAACCCGTATTTATAGGTGCAAAAGCTTTCTTGCATGCTGCTAAGAAAGAATCACCATATATTATTTATGCCACACACGTTTTTACTGGTGAAAAGACTTTAAGTGGCATTCCAAGCCAATATCAAGAATTTCAAGATGTATTTGAAAAAAAGAATGCGGCTACACTCCCGGAACATTGTCCCTATGATTCCTCAATTGACCTTCAAGAAGGAGCACAACCACCATTCAGACCAATCTACAGTTTATCGCAAAATGAGTTGGCTGAATTCAAGGAGTATATTGAAGAAAATCTAGCCAAGAATTTCATACGCCATTCTAAATCTCTGGCAGGAGCTCCAATTCTATTTGTGAAGAAAAAAGATGGATCATTGCGGATGTATATTGATTATCGAGGATTCAACAAGATTACCATCAAGAACACGTATCCACTACCTTTAATATCTAGACTTCTTGATCACCTGAATCAAGCTAAGATCTATACAAAAATAGATCTTCGGGGAGCATACAATCTAGTACGCATCAAAGAAGGAGATGAATGGAAGACTGCGTTTCAAACTTATTATGAACATTTTGAATATAACGTCATGCCTTTTGGACTTACAAATGCACCATCAGCTTTTCAACATCTAATGAATGATGTTTTTTGAGAGTTTTTGGACGATTTTGTGGTGTGTTATCTAGACGACATCTTGATCTATTCTAAGAATCCAAAAGAACATGAACTTCATATTCATCATGTGTTACAAAAATTAAGAGATGCAAGACTCTATGCCAAGATAGAAAAGAGTGTGTTCCTCACTACTCAAGTCGATTTCTTATGTTACATCATTTCAAATGATGGA